TTTTCACACTTCCTTCCTTTTCCTACATCTCAGAATAAAGAATGGAACAGTGTTACTTTTATTTAATCAAGAAAAAGCACAGTCTAATAATCCGATTCACAGACACATTTCACGCATTTCAGAGCTCCCAGATCTGTGTGTACATCCATCCATCCATCCATCCATCCATTTTCTGACATGCTTAATCCCAAGCGGGGTCACGAAGGGTGCTGGTGCCTATCCCCAGCTGTCTACATGCGAGAGGCGGGGTACACCCTGGACAGGTCGCCAGTCCATCGCAGATTTGTGTGTACATGGTGCATTTAAATGCTGGTGGAAAGCTGGGTTTTCTGACTTTTGTTTAAATTTTTTCTACTTTTTCATTATTCTATGGTTGTTTATTTACATTCATTTCCAGGCTATTTTTTTTCCTTGGTCATCAACACGCCAGACTGGAGATGTGACAGGCATCCTGGGCCACAGGCAGCTACGCTCTACCCCTTATATTCATTCGGCTAGCTAATCTGAGTCGTTCAATTCCATTACGAGAGCGAGATCATCTGTGGTAGTAGCACTAGACATCTTCCAGGCATGTGAGGAAAACTAGCAGCAGTTCAGTGGACAGGATGAATGAGTGGTAGCCGGATGACGTCATACACGCGCCGCTTTGTTTTTAATAGATATTAATATAAAAAATATAAGCGCGAATGTCTGGCGGACAGTAATTCGCCTACATGTTATAAACTGACTGACCATAAATGATAAATTATGAGTTTAGCTTGTGCCTTCAAGTCGTTGCCCATAGGAAGACATTACTTGAATATAACATAACCGAATATCTTCAGAACAGCTCCAAATGACACAAAACTCATATTGGTGAGTAGAACATGATGTAATAACGTCAAATCAAGGGCCAAATTTAAAAAAAAAACAACGCATTTTTCCTTTAATCTTTAAGCCCTTTCGGAGCCAGGTAAACATCTAATATATCTGTTAAAATCAAATATATGTTTAAAGTTTTAGGTGCTAGAAGAAAAAAATTAATTGCTTTTTTATTTATACTTAATGATAAGCATTAGAATGCCCAGTTGCCTTTCGCCTTTCTGTCATTTAGTTTCAAGATGACAATGGTGGTCTTTGATCAAGTTTAATCATTCATTTCTTTTTTCAACAACCAGAGTTTCCACAATAACAACAAAATCAACTACTGCCCCTGTTGTAGAAGAGCAAACTGTTCTGTAACTTAAATTCAGAACTCTGTCCAGGAAGTTTTCACTAAAATAATTTACTTTTTTTAACCTTTACCCTAAACTAATACATTTAATCCAAAATCCTGATCACCAATACTTTCATTCTGTCCACTATAATATACACTGTTTCATTTTGAAAAAAAGGGAAACATTTGGTAAATATCTCAACATTTGGAAATGTTCTCATGTTATCTCCTATTTGGATATTATACAAACAGAAAGGGGGGAAAAAGTGCCTTATGTAATATTTACCTTTACTAATAAGCTTATCATCTTTAATTATTAAGCTTTACCAAGGACATTTCCTTTAATCTCTATCAATATCAGATGGTTCTATGTTTGTTAAGCCAACCATATATCTTTGGAGCTTTTGGTCCTCCTCTTTCTGTCCTCTTTATAAACTGTGGTCTTCAGCTCATTTTCCTCAGGTCTTGCTTGAGCTGCTGAATCTGGAAGNAAAAAAAAACAACGCATTTTTCCTTTAATCTTTAAGCCCTTTCGGAGCCAGGTAAACATCTAATATATCTGTTAAAATCAAATATATGTTTAAAGTTTTAGGTGCTAGAAGAAAAAAATTAATTGCTTTTTTATTTATACTTAATGATAAGCATTAGAATGCCCAGTTGCCTTTCGCCTTTCTGTCATTTAGTTTCAAGATGACAATGGTGGTCTTTGATCAAGTTTAATCATTCATTTCTTTTTTCAACAACCAGAGTTTCCACAATAACAACAAAATCAACTACTGCCCCTGTTGTAGAAGAGCAAACTGTTCTGTAACTTAAATTCAGAACTCTGTCCAGGAAGTTTTCACTAAAATAATTTACTTTTTTTAACCTTTACCCTAAACTAATACATTTAATCCAAAATCCTGATCACCAATACTTTCATTCTGTCCACTATAATATACACTGTTTCATTTTGAAAAAAAGGGAAACATTTGGTAAATATCTCAACATTTGGAAATGTTCTCATGTTATCTCCTATTTGGATATTATACAAACAGAAAGGGGGGAAAAAGTGCCTTATGTAATATTTACCTTTACTAATAAGCTTATCATCTTTAATTATTAAGCTTTACCAAGGACATTTCCTTTAATCTCTATCAATATCAGATGGTTCTATGTTTGTTAAGCCAACCATATATCTTTGGAGCTTTTGGTCCTCCTCTTTCTGTCCTCTTTATAAACTGTGGTCTTCAGCTCATTTTCCTCAGGTCTTGCTTGAGCTGCTGAATCTGGAAGGGGCTCTTCAACAGTAGGTTTTTCAACTTTTGCAAATGCTTGAAACTACTAAAACTAGCACTGTTTCAATCTTCAACCAAAAGATAAGACTATAAGGAGTCGATTTGATCATATTTGCTAATTCACTGCTGTATGACGGAGAAAATAAAGTTCAGCTGGCTTTTATGATGACTGAAAGACGTATATTACTTCTGAATTTATAGTATTACAGTAAATGTTTTTTCTTTTAGCTTTACTAACTTGTAATTGAAAACTGAGAAAGCTTAGTATCTTGAATAACAGCCATATTAGTATTAGTAAACTCACGATTTTGCATATGGACTATTTTAAAGTTAATTTCTGATGAGGTATAAATATGCCTAACAATCATTCTTTATAGTACTAGCCATCTACTCTGAAACAGCAGTCATTCATGAACTTTTCCATTTCTTTTTTAGCCCCTAATCATGGCCGTCTGCTCAACCTTGATGCCTCTTCTGCTAAGCCTCCTCCTGTTTCCCTGCTCTGTTCTCTGCTGCCAGACTGGGACTAAAGCCCAATGTGATGCTGCTCCATTTGTACCAGGCCACAACCTGGTAGGAGAAGGTTTTGATGTGGTCACACTGCGCAGGAAAGGTGCTTATGTGATTGACTTTAAGACTTACCTGAGCTCCGGTGGCAGCTGTACCCTCTGCTCCAACCCTCTTCAAGGGAACAAGCTCCAGAAAGTACTGTCAAATCTGAAATAAACACTATTGTGTATTTCATTTGTCAAATAATTAATCATGCTGCTGT